TCATGAGAACAGGAGTTTAGATACAGACTCGAAAACCAGCAGATATGCTTCTTGTCCATGACAACTAATTCTGTCCTGTCTAGAAGCAAGAATTGTCCTTGATTCTATAGCAGTGCTGTCCTGACCAGAGCCCAGAAACACCAAAATGTTAAGGGTTATGGTTCGATTTCTGCCTTCTTGTTTTCGTCTTCTCCTAAAAAAACAAATGGCAACTTTAATGAGCTCAGACACCTAGAAGCTATGGGAGGCCAGATGCCCTGGAATCTGTGTCCAAAACAGACACCTGCCCAGATACCTGTGGGCGGGACAGCCGGACTGTCCAACTCACACCCTCATACCTCAGTCCTTACTAACCTAGAGCAGGACCCCCAGTTGCTGCTCTGTCTGGGAACCCTCCTGCTCCAAAGGCACCCTGTTTGCATCCTTTTTCATGAGCTCCAACTCTAATAAGATTTCTTTCTGAAACTCAGCCTTCCTTTGTCCACTCAATTCATTCTGAGCCTGCAGAACAAAGGCCCGAAAGCCTTTAGCTGCATCTGGCTTTGGTGGCCTTTGTACTCAAGGATCTCTGCTCACCACGCCCAACCCTGTCCCCATCACTCCTTTCCCAGACATAAACCTGATACTCACTGGGAATCTCACAAGCAAAACTCTAAACTTTTATTACACCGAGAATATCCTAACTTCCCTTACAACTCTACTTGTCTCTGATTTTACCTTTCCTGCTGTGAGCCACTCACGTACCTGGTAGCCCCTCCGTGATCACATTTAAGTTCCCTGACAACCCTTTAAAGATGGTATCTTCAAACCTCACCGATGATAAAGACATTATAAAGCCTCCACACTTGACTATGTCTTGGTTTCACACAGTGCCTCTCTATCCATTAATTCCTGTGCTTGAATCTATGTTAAAAGTTTCTTCTAATAAAGTCCAACCCTGGTGTCTGGGGAGAGGGCTCAGTTAAGTGCTTACCATGTAAGCATGATGACACAACTCTGGGTTCATAGGGCCTATGTTAAAAGTTGAGCATACTGGTGAGCATCTATAAGCCCAGCACCGGGCAGGTGGGGAGGGGCAGTGAGGGCAGAGACAGGAGGGTCCCTGGAGCTCACCTGCCAACCAGCCTGAAGTTCCTTTCTGCAGTGAGAAATTCCTTTTTGCTCTCACCAGAGTGGGAGTTTCAAAAAACTCTCACTTGTACTGTGTCCAGCACCCACTATGGCTGATAAAAACTAGAGAGAGAACTAGATAAAATAGTGAAGTCTTACAGAGAAGAATGGGCCTTCTCTGCTTCTCATCAAAGTTATTTACTTCCTAACCAGTCAGAAAGTGTTTGTGATTTAAGATGTCAGTCCAATCCATGTACCGCCTCCCAAAACAACTTTTGGGGAAATCTATCAGAATGAGACGTCTTCCTTTGAGCTTGGTTTTCTGGAACATTCTTTGTGTTGCCCTGATATGGTACACGAGAATTACAATCCCTAGTTTACAGGGGTTGTATAAATCCAACTGGATGCCATTTCCTTTGACCTCGGTGTTAGATTTGAAAATGGAGAAGTATCCACTTCCTGTGTATTAATGGAAGTGGATATGGTACCTGGCAAAGAGCTCATCTACCTCTAGACTAATAGGAAGTAGCTCAACGATTTCTTTCTCTCCTTCCTCTAGGCAAAGCTCAGGTGGGGTTTAGCTCTGAGCTGTTGGAGGAAGGAGAATGATAATTCACACCACTCAGGGAAGGCCCTGAATGCTGCCCTTGTTTAAGCAGCTGGGGATTTTCAGGGTAAATAACTGCCTTCCTCAGGGATTTTCTGTTGAAACTCCTGGTCAGGGATGGGTCAGAGATTTAAATATAAATCCCCATCTCCACCAGGCAAGGATTTAAAGGATAAACCCCTTCTGCTCAAAGGAAGATTTACACAGTTGGAGTCACTTCACTGGGGACTGTGCTGCTTGAAACACTGGGGCCTCCATACCCTGGTTCCTCCATCCATCCTGGCCGATAAACTGCCACATCTCCATCAGCCTGTACAGTCTTTTCTGCTCACCTGTCCCCTCTACCTTTCACTGCCATCCCCCAGTGGCAAGAACAGGGACCTCTATTAACACCAGATGACAAAATCACCGACTGTCCGACTGTTCACGGCTGTTTGGGTCTCTGGTTATGTCTTGCTTCGACGTCCAGACGCTGCCTCGGACCATCTTTATCTTCCCTCCCCACATCCTCTTACAGTCTGCTCTCCTGTCTAGGAGATGTTACCTGCTTCTCTTTATGGTGAGCCATTTTTCTCACTGGACCCTGATTTCAGAACCTGCAGGAGGGAACATTAACAATCAGAGTCCTGGGCTCCACCCCGGCCCCCTTAATCAGAAATGCACATACTGGGGTTTAGAAATCGATCCAGGCAATCAACCCTTCAACAACTCCTGGATTCCAGGGTGCAGTGAAGCTGGGCCTTCCCCCCATGTCTGATTTTTTGGAAAGGCTCCATTTTCCCTTTCATTTAGGCGATGCTCTCTCCTCAGTGCTGAGTACCTTACTGTAGGTCTCTGAGGATATATAGAGGGAGAGACAAAGCAAGTACCTGGGCTACTATTAGGTGCAAGGTAGTCAATGACTTGGCCTGAAAGGTGCCCAGCTCATAAATATTCATGTTAACCTTCTGGTCATTTTTGTTCACTTTTGATCATTCAGATCAATTCAAGGCTCTTGCCCACCTCCCATACCCCGTACCCCCCCCCCAAGTCTCTAAAAGCTTTTGTGAGAGCAGGAAACAGGTTCTGGGAATAAGGTGGTAGGAAGATTGAGGTTAGAATGAATTGATAGGCAATAGGATTAGAACCTTGCTCAATTCTGATCTTGGGAGTAACTAACAGTGGCTTGGAATTAAAGAATTAAACCATGAAGGCTTCTTTGACAAGCGATCTGATAGACCTAGAAATAAAGTTCAGAGACAGTGTTGTCAGGCAGAGGCAGGGGACAGCTGAGATAAGGGGTTCTGGGAGGCCAGGGCCAGGGGTGAAGCTCATTTCTTTCTTTAGAATGCAGGCAGAGAGGCATCGGTCCCACTTCTCAGGGCAGCGCAAGGTTCTGAAACAGTCTGAGGGGCACGAGAGTTACCAGTTTCCATTCACCGCTGGTAGCATCCTCTCCCTTCCATCCAATTATGACTTTAAATGGAGGCAAGCATGAAAAGCGAAGGGAGATAACGGAACATAAGGCGAGCGTGACAACTAGCAAATCTTCGTGCACTGCCCTCAGCCTGGTAGCTCTACATTGCTCTTCCCTCATGTGGCAGGGAACAAAGAAGAGTGAGCACATTCCAAAGGCCTCAAAGAAAGTATTATCAAATGCAGTTTGATGGCTTTCCGTGGGGGAAGGGGAGAGAGAGTGCCACGCTGGTTTGCCGCTGCTGCTTCCCTGCGATGTCATAAGAAAATCTTTAAAAAAAAAAAATCTATATTGGAATTAGGAGAGAGTGAAATGTTTCTGGATGTCCATCCTCTTTCTTATCTCATTCCCAAAAATAGGTTTGACAAGGACAGGGGACATTTCTGGTACACTTGAACTGAAGCATTTCCCCCTAAGGTTGGAAGGACGAACTCTGAGCCAGCCTAGGTAATGGCTGTGTTCCCCTGCTGGGGAAAACTAATACATAAGTACGGTAGATCTCCCGGGCCTCTTTTTGGTGGCGTTTCTTTGGTTGAACATCTTCAGAGGAAATAATTTGAGCATCTGGATGCTAGTTAGAGCTGGTTTTAATCAAAGCCAGATTTTATGTTTAGCCTGAGACCCTCTCTCTCTCTCTCCTTCTTCTTCCAGAAGTCAGATCCAAGTCGCAGCCTTGGGAAAAGCCTCACTTCTATCACACCCTACTGGTTGGTGTGTGTGCGCACGCGTGTACATGTTTGTGTGTGCATGTGTGTGGTGGAAGTGAAAGTGTACATACCCACGAACATGTATGTAGAGAACAAAGGTTGATGGCATGTTGTGTTTCCCTGCCTAAGTTTTTGACTCGGGGTCCCTCACTGAACGTGGATCTCACTGATTCGGGAAGATGATCTGGCCAGCAGACCTGGGCAGCCTCCTCTTTCTGCTCCCCATTGCTGGAATTACAGGCGCAGACCGCATCACGTGGCTTTTATGCGAGAGCCGGGGACCCGAATTCTAGTCGTCACACGTGCGCAGCAAACGTTTTCCTGACTCAGCTTCCAGGGTCTTGAGACTTTTGTGACGGTGGGAAGCGTGCCCTCCCTGGAGGTGTCCTTGATGAGGTGCATCAAATGAAGTAGTCAGAGCAGGAAGGAAAGGCTCTGGGCTCTGTCTTCCCTATGACCTTCCCTCACCTAGTGCCTGCTCTGCCCCTTGGCTTCACAGCACATCAGGGTCTCACATTTCTCCCTTGGCAACACATTCTGTGGGATATTTAAAACCACCACTTATTATTGTCCTTCTCAAATGTTCCATGTTTCCAATCTCAAGTTTCAAAAGAAAGCATTTCTTTAGAGAACATTTTGACCTACAGGAAAGCAAGATGGAGGGAGGGGAACCTGTGAGAGAAAATGATGGAAGATTCCAGTTTTACAGAGCTGGGTTTTGCTTTTAGGTCAGGGTTGCCAATAGGCTGGTTTTGTGGGTCATGGTCCTCTATGAAACCCATCAGATAGGATTCTGCACGGCAGCATAGGTCGGGGTAGGGTGGAGGGTAGTTTTGAAGGGTGTTCTAGGTGAGAAATACTCTTGGAAGCCTCAGAACTTTCTGGGGCTATCTTGGCTTATAGAATTTGCCAATGGCTGTAGTGTAAATCCTCCTGTACCAGCTAATTGCAAGCTATCACCATGGAGTCACTGCAGGCTGAGTTGGGAGGCAGGCAGTGGGGCATCATTGTAAGCCCGGTCCTTGCAAAAGGTTATCTGGGGCCCAGAAAGGAAAGAGTGGTGAAAGAATCAGGAAGCGATGACGCCTGGGTATTCTCCTTGTTTTAAATAGAATTTATTTATTCGTAAGATTATATATAAGTTAATTTTTAGTAATGTTTGTAATAACAGACCTACAAAAATTCTAAAAACGTAACAATCCGAGTACATGTCAGCTCTTGGGCTGGAAGAGAAGGAGACAAAAAAAAAAAAGCGAAAGGCTACATTTAGTACTGAAATACTGAAGCAGGGGTTTCCATGCCGTTCAGACTTTATGGCTGGGTCCTTCCGAGACTCCGGAACGTGAGTTCATAGAAATGACAGGGATGGAGCTGGTGAGTAGCCTAGACTGTGGAACCAGTTCTACTGTTTGCTAAACTGCAGTTTCTCATCGGTTACATAGGTACAACACATACACAAAGCAGCAGCTTCATGGGATTGTTTTGAGGCTTACATGGGATAATATGTTCCAAGTACTTACGCCCCCGGGTCACACAGGAAACTTCCAGTCAGTGGCAGCCACAGGGCCTACTGTGGCAAATATCCTGATCCATTTCTATGTGTCCCCAGCAGCCGCAGGAACGCTAGATCTGTCCCAGGTACGCTAGATCTGTCCCAGGTACAGGCGCACATGCGTTCTGTTAGGAGCAATTTTTACTGTATTGCTAACCCCCTCCATCAGCCATTCATTGAGGCCGAGACTCAAGGGGAGGCGTGTTTCCCTTTAAATACCTTCCGAACAAACTGCTCACAAGTGCCAGTTCAAATATAGACAACTCATTTCTCTCTTAAGTGCTACTGTCTGTCTAGACCCTCTGATAAAACACACATATTCCTCAGAGGGTATCATTGAGTGTCTTGGCGTGAATGAGGCAACCAGGTTCCATTATCTAGGAACAAGAGGCCTGGCAGTGGGTGAAGGAGACAAAAGGACACGGAGCCACCAAGACTTCCACGTGCCTCTTCCCTCCCACCGCCTGGCACCAGCTTACTTCCCGTTGCCAAGACACCGCTAAAAGTAGATTTCACTCCAGGCTTTCCCTCCGAATTCTCCCCATTATTCTAGGGTAAAGACAGTCTATTCTCAAGTCTCCAATCCACTGCTGAAGTAGGACCCTGCTGAATACTGGGGGGTTCGCCTTCCTGTACTGAGAACACTGAGTCCGGGGTGGGAGAGCTGAGTTTTAGTTGTGGTCTGATGTGTGACATTGAGAAGGTCATGATGTGTCTCTGAACCTGTGTATTGAGGAAAGTGATGTGGATTTACTAAAGACTAAAAGAAAGAGCCTCTTGGTAGCAATAACACCCAAACAGACACTTTTTTTTTTTTTTTTAATTACTGTCTTCCATTTCCAATTCACTTTGTCTTCTGTTTTTCAAACATTAGTTTGTAGAGAAAAGCCGTCTTGGGAGCACCGTAGTTGGAGGAAAAGAACACATTTCCTAACCTTTATTCTGAAGATTTCAAGGAGCCCCCGTTCTGATCTGTGTGGCATCATCGACTCATAATACAGTGTGCACTAAAAACGGCCTGCAGCTGCTCCTCGTTTGGCTCAGTAGAAAGGCAAAGGCAGCGTTGCAGCAGGCCTGTAAGCTCTAAATGCATTCTTCTTGAGGTGTTGTGTGTTTGTATAGTTGGGGCACCTATGAGGTCACAAATGACCAGGAGAGGAACTGTGGCCTCTGATGCCTGTAGACAGCTATGGAGGTCCTCGGTTGCAGGCAAGGAGCCACACAAGATGATGACTCCCCGGGGCTGACTCTGCAGCCTTGGGTCTGAGCCAGCCACGGTTGGGTGCTAACGGCCTAGAGCTGCATGTGTGATAGCTCCCAGAGCCCACAGGACCCAAACCGGCCCTTAGCACCTCACAGCTTCATCTTTGTGCTCGTCTGGGAGCAAAGTTGTGCTCCTCGGGCCCTAGATAAGAGAGGAAGCCTAGGCTGAGAGTCCCAGGACGACTGGGAGATTGGAAAGAACTGTTTCTGTATTTCTATAAATTGATGCTTCAGGTGTGGGTTGACAGCAAAAGCGGCTGGAAAAATCACCCAGTTTGGGGGGAGGGTAGTGTGTTAGGATGAACTAATTTTGGTGGAGACAAGATTGCTGCTGGCCAGCCAGGACAGTCTGCCTGAAACTAAGTGTTCACTTGGAGGCTGACCAGGCCCAGCTGGTGTGCCTGAGGTAAGGGAACGAGCTGGAGAAAGTCCCACACAGCCCCGTGGAGAGCTGTGTTGGATTCAGATACCATGAGTTGTGGACACAGTGGCTCTGTATGGAAGGCTTTAAGGTGTCCAAGTTAGATCAGAAAGAAGGTGGAGTGTAAGAAAGGCTTCCCCCAGAGGCTGCTGCGTGGTTCTAAAAACCAAACAAGAGAGGGCAGCCTGTGGGAGTGGGGAGTGGAGGGTGAGGCTTCCTTCTGCATATGCCAAAGTGGCTCCTTGGCAGCCATATTTATGTACTGAACAGGGCCATAGAGCATGTTAGAGAATGAAGAGTGGCCCAGAGTGTGTCAGGGCTGGAGGACCTGATTGCTTCCCTCTGGGGTCCCCGTGTTTGATGATGGGTGTAATTTATACACCATCAAGAACGGAGTGGCTGGCTCCCTGTCTGACACAAAAAGGTGTTACTCTAGTGAGGGGGCTGATGGATTTATAACTTCTACATTTAGAAGGTCTCTCTGAGGCAGGAGCACCTTCCCTCCCGGAGGTTAGAGGTTAATTTGATGCCTTCTCTCTGGCTGCTTTTCTCCTGCATCTTACCTAGCCTGCTTCTCAGCAGAGGCAAGATGCTGTTCAGAAAAGCACTGAGAACATCTGGGTTTTAATAGCAAAGCAAAAGGGAATGGCACAGCCAGGGAATAAGGCCAGGAGAACCTGAAAATAAAAAAAGAGGGTTTTTAATCTAACCACTGTCTCCAGCCCAGGCGTGGGTGAGTGCTTCTAACACAAAGGTTGCCTCCAGGGTGTGTGGAGGAGACACTGTCTCATGTTCTTGCAGCTTAGCTTTGACCCCAAGGCTCCTGGAAAGATGTCGGTCACTGCTGCTTGGGTCTTCTCCCTGGAAACATGGCCTCCCTCATGACAAGTTAGGCTCTACCTAAAACAGCCTGAAGAGAAGAAGAAGGTGCTGTTTGGAAGCCCAGCCTCCCTTTAACTGCAGTGCTCTGCTTCTCTGTAATGGTGGTTTTCGCAGGGAATAACTTTTCTGGTAGACTCTCCCAAAGGTTCTACAAAACTTTACCAACAACACAGGACAGATACCACACCAAGACCTCAAATCACAGATGTTTACATAGTATAATGCCCATGGCAGACGAATACTAACACCACAAATTACCTGAGACGAAAAAGAAAGAAAGGAAGGAAGGGGGAATAAAAAGGTCCTGACATCTGGACGCCCGAGGCGCAAACAGGCAGCGATGGCTATCCAGTGACTCCGGCATCTCACATCTCCGCCTCTGTGGCCCGGACCTCTGTGGCGGTGATGGCGATTCCGATGGCGAGGCTGCCGTTGTCGGAGAAGAGCTGGGCCAGTGAGGTGTTGAGAACCAGGCAGTCCCCATCGGTGATGACTGAGTCCACGCACTCCAGGACGGATCTCGGGGTGGCCTCCCATTTGAGACGCCTGTGGTTTCTGTTGAGCTCCAGGCGATAGGTGAAGCAGTCGGCCTGGGTCGGGGTCCCGATCAGCATCATGGTAGCAAAGAACTGAGGGTGCCCTTCATGCCGCTCCTGCTTCCTGAGCACCAGCAGGAAGTGGTGGCCGAGGCAGGAGTGCATGATGATCCAGTCGGCCGGCGCAGGGAGGTGCATGTCTGTGGCCAGGAATACTATCTCTGCTCCCTGAAGGATGTCAATCCTGTGGATCTGCCGCAGGTGAGGAACCACCACCTCCAGGTGGCCCTCCCACGGGCAGGAGAACAGTGGGCACATGCAGGGTGTCACCTGAGCGCTGTGCAGCCCGGCCTCCTGGTGGTGTAGGTGGCGGGGTCGGGCATGGTGGCACAGGTGGCTGTGGTGACAGTGGTGGCGGTGGTGGTGGGGAAGATGGTGCGGGTGGAAGCTGCCGTGCTCGGCAGAGTTCTGAGTGATGGCCCGTCTGCTGGACACATACTGGAAGGAAAGAGGAAAGGGTTAGTGGGGCGTGGAGCTTGTCTTTGGTGCTGTGTGGCTCTCCTGATATTACAGTGCAGGTTTCTTTCTTTTTTTTCTTCCTTTCTTCCTTCCTTCTTTCCTTCCTTCCTTCCTTCTTTCCTTCCTTCCTTCCTTCCTTCCTTCCTTCCTTCCTTCCTTCCTTC